AATTAGCTTAGATTTTTTTTATTTCTTCCTCTTTGAAGTTGTCGAAATATTCTGTTATCTTTTCCTTCAGTAGCGTAAGTCTTCTTTGAAGGTAAGTATTGTACAACCTTTCATATCATAGTTGTTTTGAGGAAGAGTATTTTTGACAATTTCCTTTATTTGCTCATTCGGTGTCATTGAAATCGGTAAGTTTTCACGATAGAACCAGTTTCTGTCAGATTTGTAAATCTTAGCAAGGTCGTAAAAGCTTTTGTTGTTTCTTCTGACTAAATGCAACATAACCATATCTTTATCTTCTTCTTTTCTCCAACTCTTCAGCGTAAATCATATACTTATAACTCTTTTCCTTTCCTTTTGGTACCGAACGTGGTATTCTTTTCTGTATGCTTTTGTCTTTGGATTCAATGACTTCATCTTTTGCTTGAAGTTTCTTTTCCATCTCTCCACGTTCTGCTTTATATAGTTCATCTAACATCATGAAAATATAACAAGCATAACGAGGTGAAGCCCACATTGCTACAGCATTTACAAGAAGTCTATGAAATAATAACCTTTCAAACCAGGTGCCAAATTCTTGCGATTTTCGTACGGAATCTCTTCCCTCGGTTTTCCGAGGGAAGCAATCATATGAGGAAATTCTTCTAAAAGTTCTTTTGCCTGTTGGTTTTCAAACCAATGATATGCTTGCTTTGTAGAAAGAAGAGCATTCATTATACTTTGCATTTGGTACATGTCATCTTTGACTGAACGAATGAGTCTCAATTGTTTGTTATACTGTATGTATTCGTATTCTTCATTTATGGCTTCATGAACGATAGCAGTTTGTTGTGTTCTCTGTTGTTGACATATCTGTCTTTACATACAAAATAAAAAAAAAAAAAAATAAAATTAGCGTTATTTTTTCTATCTTTCACAAAGACCAAAAATAAACGCTTTACATGTATTTTTCAGCAACTTCGTCAAATAATTTTATAGCTTTATCTATCTCATCTACTTCAAACGTTTCTTTACCTTTTATGGGAGCACCATACATTTTCTCAAACTTTTCGAGTAGTTCTGTTTCTGCGGCTCTCATATCATTAACGAACACAACCTTGACTCTATTGACTGTACTGTCATATCTTTGAGTTATATTATATGTCCTTCCTATCTTATATCTTTTTGTGTTGAAGTCCTTCGGTTTCTGAACGATGTAAAGTAAGCCTTCACTGCAACGTTCCGTATCGAATGAACCATAAGTTATGAAGTTATATCCAACAACTGGGTCAATCCATAACAAAACTATTGGTATAAGACTTTTGTCGATGAGATATGCTGTAGTTCCATAGAATCTTACTGATATCATAAGCTCAGGATTTCTTGTCAAAATTTTCTGAGTTGAAGCATTTCTAACCCAGTCGTGTGTTTTCTTTCCAGATGGAAATATAATGTCTGACAAAAATATTTGTTGTATTTCTTTGAGTATCTTACGTTTAAATCACCTATTCTAACCACTTTGGTGTCATTGTCTATCTTTCTAACTGTTTCAAACTCAATGTTTGTCATTTCTGTTCTTACATACAAAATAAAAAAATAAATAAAAATAAAACTAACTTTATTTTTTCTGTCTTAAGGAAATTCATGATTTTGTTGCTGAATTCAGCAAAAATAATGTTTAGGTGAAGAGGTGAGATCTCACCTGTTTTCTCACCTGTTTTTTCACCTGTTTTTTCACAACCGTTTTACATGAATTGTACGATGTATATTTGAAATCCTAAACAGTTTCGTAGCTTCTATTTCTTCTGTCAGTATGTCAAAAGTTTTAACGATACCGAAAGTTTCTTTATATTTCTTCTTGACGTCAGATAGAAGGAAATCTTCTGCTGTTGGATAGTTTTTGTTCAGAAATTCTAACATGTCCATTTTATCTTCTGCTGGTTTTTCTGCTTCTTTCTTTAAGTCTGCATAGTCGTTTCTCATTCTTTCTATCTCTTTGACGGAGTAGTTATATCTCCTCATTGCTGCTTTACATTTAGAACATTGCGGGTTCATTTTTTGCGTTATACATTGAAATAAAACCAGCTAAAACAACTAAAGCGTCAATTGCTCTCTTCATCTCAAACATAGCGGGTCTTATTTGTTTGTTCCATACTTTGCCTCTTCTATCTTTATCTCTTATTTCCCAAACACATTCTGCAACTAACGAAACAAAGTTGTCGTAGGTCTTAAATTCTTCAGATTTATATATGTCAGAAACATTCTTATATACCATTCGCAATCTTTGTCCATAACCTTATGGTTGCAATGAAATCCTAGAAACTCATAGTTTACCTTACGAATGAACTTCTTTATTTCTACTGAGTCAGTTGGTTTCACTTCAATTTCGTCGAATTCAGGAATAGTGAGTTTTTGTTGTTGGATTTCAGGTAGTTTAGGTAAATGGTCAATAATGTCCTGCATTTCATAAAGATACTGTTCATTTGTTTCATCTTTCGCACTACAGTCTAAATTACTTGTTAAAAGTTCTTGCTTTATCTTCTGGATTTCTGTTTCAAAAGTATATGAAGAAGGAATGAAGCTTTTCATCTCTACTAACATAGATGTTGGATTCATGACTAACGAGTTTGGTGCTGTAGTTGTTTGTATTGCTGTTGTGCCGATTGTTGAAATCATATCTTTACATACAAAATAAAAAAAATAAAAAAAATAAAACTAACTTTATTTTTTATTTCGGGAAAATTCATGAAAATTCAAGAGGTGAAAAAAGAGGTGAAAAAACAGGTGAGATCTCACCTCTTCACCTAAATTATATTTTTGGGTCCTTTACACTCATTACGAAGAAGTCTTGACAAAACATTTACGTTCATGTTTGACAAAACATTTACGAAGAAGTTTTGACAAAACATTTACGAAGAAGTCATGACAAAACATTTACGAAGAAGTTTTGACAAAACATTTACGATGAAATCATGACAAAACATTTACGAAGAAGTCATGACAAAACATTTACGAAGAAGTCATGAAAATTCAAGAGGGTAGAAAACAGGTGAGAAAACAGGTGAGATCTCACCTCTTCACCTAAACATTATTTTTGCTGAATTCAGCAACAAAATGAACGAGGTCAGGATGTATGTAAATACATTTGAATTCATTCATAACACCCTTAGTAAGCTCATAAAATGCTTGTTTTGAGGTCGAGCCACTTTTGGCTCCACCGTATTCTTTCAACCAAAACTCAAGAATTTCCTGCATGAATTTTGTATAAAAAGCAACCGTCGGAATTCAGACTGTTGCTATATTCTTCACAAAACATTTACGCTCATTACGATGAAGAAGTCTTGACAAAACATGTACGATGAAATCATGACAAAACATATACGAAGAAGTCTTGACAAAACATTTACGATGAAATCATGACAAAACATTTACCCGACATTCTCGTCAAATACAAAAAATGACACTTTTTCATTAGATAACTGTTATTTTTTGACGAAGTGAAGATTGACACTTCGTCAAAAAAATCCCTGAAATCATGTCTTTACATACAAAAAAATACAAAAAATGACACTTTTTCATTAGATAACTGTTATTTTTTGACGAAGTGAAGATTGACACTTCGTCAAAAAAATCCCTGAAATCATGTCTTTACATACAAAAAATACAAAAAATACAAAATAAAACTAACTTTATTTTTTATTTCGGGAAAATTCATGAAAATTCAAGAGGGTAGAAATGAGGGTAGAAATGAGGTTAGATCTAACCATCTAACCTAAACATTATTTTTGGTCATGGACTTCGTCCTCGCCGCTTTGCGTCTTTATGTTAAAATAAATGGTACCATTAATAATTTCATGACTGTTCTCGTTCATGTCTGATTTACATCCAATGAAAAAGTTTAGAAGAATTTTCTTATTCTTTCTGGCATATTTTTGTCTTTCCAGTACTCCCGCTCTAATGGTCCCAGATGTGTTGGCTTTGACTCTCTCAAGTTCTTAGATGGTATAACATCTTCAACGCCTCCTTCATATCTTACTTTATAAGTGTCATCGTTTATGTTATAGTCAAGTATTTCAATAACCACTCCTCGCTTTGCTTCGTCAATGGTTTCAGCAAGTTTGCCATTACTACTTTCGACTAATTTATGTCGAGGGTAAAACGCAATAGAGTCGTCGGCAGCTTTTATAAGATATCCATTACCTTGCGTAGAGTCTACGATATAATAGTTTCTACTTAACCTTAAACGTTTCTTTGTCAACGGTTTGTCGTCAAGAACTACACGAACTTTTGTACCAGGAATGAGGGTAAATTGTGTTGAATTTCTGATATTTTGTGTTTGGCTTCGTTTCTTTTGTATATACTTTTCTTCTTGTTGTTGTGTCATTGAATTTGGTGTATGTCCTGTTGTAGAATGTGTTGAGGAATTATATACTTCGAGAAAATGTTTCATTGTTTCTTCGATAAAGTCTCGCTCTTGGTTTAAATCTCTGAGAGTCCTTATGAAGCGATTAATGATACCGAGTATGTTATGGTTATGGTCTTCAGTAGTGTAGTGAGTTATGTTATGCTTAATGAGAAATTCTGTGATTTCGTTGCTGAGGTATGCACTGTCTTGGTCTGATGTTAAAGTACTTGGGCTATGTTCTGCTACAAACTTTTGTAAAACTCTTAACACTTCACGAGTTCCTTTATTTTTCATTGGATATGCATATGCTTTACGAGTGTTAACATTAATGAAGATGAGGAATGGTTTATGTCCTCCTTTTCTGCTTTGAATGAGAGTGTCAAATTGGTATGCGTCAGGAGTGTTGGAGTAAATTGGTAAAAAGTAGTCGTAAGGGTTTATTTTTGTTTGATGTACAACATTTTTGTCAAAGAACCTTTTCACTTCAGCTCTGTTAGTAAATCCCCGACTCTTTGCAGCTTCATTGAACTTCTTAAATGACCTTCATGGATGTTGTTCGAATACTTCTTTCAAGCTCATTTATGTAAAATTAAAGATTTTATTCTAGGCTCAAGCGCGTTCATTGAACTCTATACCATGCGAATACAGTCATAAATGGTGGCATATAATCTGCACCCGAGCCTGTTGGATTTGTTGTGAAAGTATGGACATGATTTCCTCCTGGTTCAGTTGGTCGAAAAGTCTTTTTTGCTGCATTGTTATAAGATGGAGATAAAACGTCATTGCCAGCTTTATATTCTGAGTTGTATAATGGATGGTCTCTTAATGAGTGGCTATGGTCGCCAGAAAAGTTTGTAGTTCCTGTATGAGTGTGCGCAGGTAAGTTTGCTTCAGTAATTTTCTTCGAACCTCCTGTTTGCTTTGAAGAGTTAGCACAGTATAAGAATTTGTCTACAATCTGTTCCCAAGTACCAAAACCTAAAACTGTTTCTGGATTTGTTGAATTCATTGACGTATAAATAGAACCTATAGGATATAATGTTTCAAGAATCTGAGTCTTTAATGTTTGAAGCTCTGTTTTATCTGCTTTCTTATCTAACATTGTTGGTAGTTCATATGCTTCAAAGTTTCTGGCATGACTTTCAATATTCCTGCAACTCTTATCTAAATTGTTAAGAGTATCTTTTACGCTTGTACTTGGATTCTCTAAAGGTGCACTTGAACCAAGGTCAAAGTTCAATATTATGTCGTCTGCTCTAACAGTAGTGAAGGATTTATGTGTATGTTCTTTGTCAGCTTTCTTATCTAACATTGTTGGTAGTTCATATGCTTCAAAGTTTCTGGCATGACTTTCAATATTCCTGCAACTCTTATCTAAATTGTTAAGAGTATCTTTTACGCTTGTACTTGGATTCTCTAAAGGTGCACTTGAACCAAGGTCAAAGTTCAATATTATGTCGTCTGCTCTAACAGTAGTGAAGGATTCATGTGTATGGTTCTTGTCGGCTTTACTGTCTAATGTAGCTTGAAGTTCATTTATATCGGAGATGTTGTGTTTATGAGATTTCAAAACTTTGTTCATTGCTTCGAGTTCATTTTTGTCCGCTTTACTATTTAATGTAGCTTGAAGTTCATTTATATCGGAGATATTGTGTTTATGTTCTTTATCTGCTTTTTCGGCTAATTTCTCTTCTATCTCATTTATTTCAAGTTCATGCCTACCACCACCTCCCGAAGAAGTATTTTTCTTCAGCTCTTGAAGAACGTCCACTTCGCCATCTTTGGTGTCAATAATGAGACTTTGTGTTAAAACCTTTCCTGTCTTAATGGATGTTTGTAAAACTTCTTCTTCACCGTGTTCGGGGTCATGGTCGTCATCATATCTTGTGAAATCAGAGATGTTGTCATACATTAAGCATATCTGTCTCAAAAGTTCTGCTATTTGAAACTGGAACGAAAGATATACAGAACTTTCATCATCTCCTAAAGTCAAGTCTGCTTTCTTAAGTATTTCTTGAATGTATGCAATGAGAACAGAGTACCTTGGAAAATATTCGAACAATATTTCATTAGCTGTTGGTTTTGGTGGTTCTTTTGGAGTTTCTGTTGTTTCAGTTCCTTCTGTAGGTTCTGTTGGAGTTTCTGCATCTCTTGACTTCAATGCTCTTGCTCTCAAAGACCTAAATGTTAGAGCACCGGGTTTTACAAAGGACTTTATAAATGCTTTAATAGTTCCTGGTAAGTTATTGTTAGCATTAAGTAAGTTCCTTATGCTTCCATCATGTACGTCCATAGCACTATGTAAAAAATCTATACTTTTCTTGTAGTCAGCAATAGACTGACTGTGATTTTTTAAAGATTTGTCAATACCTTTAAGCCAATCTTCATGCATGTCTGATACTGAGCCAAGAATATCATTTGCTTCCTTTAGTGTATTTTGTGCTTCTCGTAAAGTATCCAATCCCGTACGTGCATTGTTTGCTATACGTCTTACAGTATCTATTTGACTCCTTGTTTCTTGCATCCAACCAGATAAAGTTTTAATAGTATCCGAACCATTTGAAATGAAGTTCAAAGCATTTTTAACGTCATTTAAAACTTCTTCACCAAGTACCGCCCATATCTTTCCGATTTGGTATTGAAGAACTCCATATGAAGCAGCTTTAAACCAGTATTTATAAGGTTCCATATCCATGATTTAGCAGTTTTTCCATCCTTTCCATCTACACCATCCAAACCGTTCTCGCCTTGAGGTCCTTGTATTCCTTGTATTCCTTGTATTCCTTGTATTCCTTGTGGTCCTTGAGGTCCTTGAGGTCCGGTGTCACCCTTCTCTCCTTTCAGTTCATCTTTATGTTCGTTATAATATTCTAATGTCATAAGGTGTACATCATTACTGCTACCAGCAACGCCAAGAATTTGTTTCTCATTCATGACTAAATTCTTTAAGCATTTAATGTTGTCGTCAAATCGAAAGCTCTTTAACAATTCAATGAGAACATTTAATACTTTCACTAATGAGGCATCTACTGTAGAATTTATATATTGCACCGTTCCATCATTTATGATAGGAACTTTACTTATTGTAATGAATGGGTCATAAGTGTTAAAAGTATCGAAATCAATGACTTTTTTAGTTTTTCCATCGTCAATGACTAAATCATTGCCTTCAATGGTTAAAGTTGAGTTTTCGTTTACTAGTTCATGTGCTCTTCTTGCTTCATTTGTTTCGTACGCATATGCAGCAATAGTCATATTTTAATGAGAATAAAATGTTGTTCTATTTGCAAAGTACAGACCCAAACGAATACGGGACAGTAAAGCTACAAACAAACTTAGGTCTTCAGAATGAAGCACTTGCTTTCAGAGTTGTTGACTTCAATACTATCGCAACTTTTGTCATAACAGATGAAACAGATTTCATAGAGATTGAAATAGATGACAAAAGAAGTTTATAACATTTCCTAACAGAGCTGGTATAGAATAGATAAAATTGCTGGAGTCATAGATACTCTCATAAATGAAGAAACTATTGACAACATAGATGTCGAACTCTCTTCTGAGGGAACATTGAAGTTCAGTAGCAAGAAAGAGTTCAAGATAACACGAATGAGTCATAGAGTACAACTTCTTTTGGTGCATACCATATGACATTTCCTTTGAAAAGTGTTGACAAAACGATTGAGATGAAATCTGTTCCATACGTATGTTATGGTAATTGTTTATACATTGAGTCTAAAATAGCTAATGTCACAGGCATTTCAGGAGTTAATAGTAAAGGTTCAGTAGAGTATAAATCTTTCTGTTATGAAGTAAATTCAATGTTCATTCCAAACGTTCCTGTCATAGCAACTCATTTAGGTAAATGGGTTCGCATTAGTCCTCATAATTTGAAAGACATGCAATTCAGACTTGTTGACTTTCAAGGAGAGCCTGTAGAACTGAAGGCACCAGTGCGAATGACTGTTGAAGTTGACTTTTTAGAAAATATTAAATGCAACAGCTTACAAGAGAACTCAGAGGCTAAAAATATAAAGTATGAATGTTATGTATTAGGTCATGAACTTTGGTTGTTGCTGTTTGATGAAACAAATGAGTTAGTTATGTCAGTCAAGAGAACAGAAAAATATTGTGTTAGTGAAACTGCACCAAGTCAATAAGATTAGGTTTGCATTATGAAGATGAGTTCGATACTGTTGAAGAAGTTTTGGATAGATATTACAAATTGCTTTAATTTACTAAAAACATTTCAAACAAAGTTTATATTCTGTTGAAGTTAGTTTTGTATATTCGTTCGAATATTTATACTTAAACTCAACTCCTGTAGTTCCTGGTGTTTCAATGATGCGGATGTTACCTATTTCATGAATGGTGGCGTTTGACCACAGCATTCGATTTCAGGGTCGAGATAGTCAATGACACATTGTTTCCCTGTTATTCGTGAGATAACATTTTCAAGGTCCTCCTTTGTTAGAATTATTTGGTTCTTACTTATAAGATTTGTCAAAAAGCTTCTTATCGTCTTTGAGTAAAATTGTTTGGTATAACTGAAGAAGGTAATGGTCTACGTTATCTGAAGGATTTGTTTTGAACATTTGTGTAAGGATTGTCGTTGGCTTCTGTCTTGAAAGAATTTGGTCCAGTGGTGGATACTCTAACTTAACATCTGATGTAGCGTTAGCGTTTGAAGCTGTGTTTAAATTCACGGATTTCAGCTCTGGTTCTTTTTCTTTCAAAACACTCTGAACTATAGTTCTTTATGACAATATTGTTTGTCGTTCGTGAGTCAACATTTGATGTTGGTTCAATTGGAAATTAACGGCACCAGCTAAGATGGATTTGCTTCTCATTTCATATAGAATAAAAACTTTTATATGTAATGAAATGAACAATATACTCGACAAGGGTTTGAATGTAAAGCTAACGAATGAAATATTGTTGAATTCACTGAGACAGGTGCTGTGTATAAAGAGTAGAACTACTGAACAAAAGAGCTAAGGGAAGAAGCAGGAACATGAACAAAGGGTGGAAGCCTATAAAAATTTAATGTCAATGATGGCTCAGGAGGTTCAAACATAAAGTATGCAGAAAGTTATAGAGTTTATGCTCTCAAGGGAGAGAAGCCTTCATTTAAGAACAGCTATTCTAACACATATCCTCAAAAGCTAACGGATGGGGAAGTGGATGATATGAATGACAGCAAAAATTTAACAGAAATGGCGACAGAGATGCATGGAATTTGTTTACCATCAGTCAATTGAAGGTTAAACTTTAAAACAATGTTGGTCGTTCCCATGGAATATTTTTGACTTTAATGGTATTAGTCATGATATGAATCTCAAGGTATGAACGAGGAGAGATGAGAGACTTATATGCTTCCCAAATTTCTTCAAAAGGTAATGTTATACCTGACTGTTTCCAAATGAGTTCAATATCATAACGTGAGAAACCTTGAAAGATAACGAAGTCAGTTATGAGACGTTTTATGTTTAAAGCAAGAAAACGCCATGTTTGCATAAGTATTGCTACAGTTAAATGGTAATGTCTGACTTTAGTAATGATGTTAGCTAATGGTGAGTCAGGCTTTGAAACTAAACCTTTTCCGGCGAAGTCGTCACAACGAGCAGAGTGTTTGAAGGATACTTTTTGAAGGGTATTTTGAAAGTTTTGATAGAATGTAGTTTGTCAGTCGTTTATATCGTAAACTCCTGAGTATTGACGTAAGTGGTGTTTGTCAATAATTCTTTCCATCTCTTCTGAAGTCTTTTGCATTCCTGACTGTATAAATTCAACAATGGCATAATATTTTCTCTTACGTCGAATGTAACGTTGAAGAAATTCAATGAGTTCGCTATCTGGAACTTTAACGACAGAGGCTTGAACTTTTGACATAAATGTTTTCGCTGTTGAGTCCATAGAGTCTGAAGTTGCTGATATAATGATTTGGTCATAATATGAGTCATTTCCTAAACGTTCTGTTATGAGTATATGACGAATGAGGTTGAATGTCTTTCCTGACCCCATCTTTCCACAATAGAAATACACACCATTTGAACAGAACTCATAATCTTTGCTGAAAGGAAGAATAAGAGAAGAGTTAAGTTTGTCTGTAGTTTCATTCATGTTTTCATCTACGTCATGTATTAAATGCTTCATTTTATCTCCATTAAAAATGCAAGTCAGAAATATTCAGAACATAGCACCGAGTCTAACTGACAAGAGTATAAAGATATACTATGAACATGTTATGATGAAACCTACCAAAATTCAAGAAAGTCAGTATACTTATGAATATCCAAGACACTGGGTAGAGTATGTAGGAGGTGAGAAAGCTATTGAAATCAGACAAGTTCGAAGTATTCCAGCAGGAAGAACAATATTATTGAAGAACTTTAATGTTTTGAGGTATAATGATGAAACAAAGAAGCAAGATAGTTTCCCTGTTGCTGTGTATGTGAACTTAGATACAGGAGATGACATGAAAGTTTTTAACACAAAGCTTCAAATGGTAGTGAGAGAACAACTGACTGCGGAAGGACATCCATTACCTTCAGAAGTTACCATAGCATATAATTTTGAAACAAACTCAATAGATTTTAAAGTCGTCTCTGCAAAGAAGTCAGGATTTACATTTAATGAAGCAGATGTATATTCGAATGAAAACTTCAAAGCTATTGCATGGTTAGATAATGACGATTGCTTTAAGAAAATATTTAAATACAGTGACTCAACGATGTCAATAGATGACCTTCGTGGAATGTTACCATCGACGTTTACAGTTGAAGGTTCAGCAGGATTGCTTACAAGATTGTCAATTGGTGGCGTTTGGTCTCGTGAGAACATTGTTATAAAATCCAGTATAAGTGAATTTGCTGAAGAATCTATATTATGTCTTTCAAACTACATGTATTCGCCGCCGAAGCATTATAGTATAACAAACTTTGTCAGTAAGTTTAACATAAGACTTGTCGAACCTTCTTCAATGAAAGATGTTGTGCTACCTAAAGATGGAAAGGATGGACTCATTATTGAGATGATTTTAATTGCATATTAAATGAGCTTGTTCTTGAAGGTCATTCATGATGAAATAACTGTTGTAGAAGATGTTAGCAATTGTTCAGACATTTTGAAGCGAATAGATGAGATAAGAAAGAAGTTAGATAGACCGCAAAGCGGTGAGGGTGAAGCCCGTGAGAATGTTTATGTTTCATTGACTTTCTCCAGTAACGAGAACTTTTATGAGATAATATTGAAGAGAGATGATTTTAATATGGTGTAAATGGTAGCTTGGGCAGCTTTAGGCGCAATGGGAACAAAAGCATTAGCATTTGGAGCAAAAGCACTTGGAGCTTATGACGCAGTAAATAAAATGAGTGGAGGAAGGGTTTCGAAGACATTAGATGCAAATAAAGGAAAGATTGGAGGCTGGGTTGCAAAGAAGTTAAGATTAAATAAAATAGGGCTCATAAATAAAGCATCCAATTTGGTTGCGACTGAGTCAGAAAATGCTTTAGGAAAGGACGATGAGTTTGCAAAACACGCAAAAGATTTTAATGACCAGATGAAAGGTGAAACATTGCATTTAAATAGAGTCGATGGAACTAAAGAAAATGTTTCTTCTCCACTAGTAGTTCTTCCGTATGGTCCCTATGGAATGTATGGAAACCCTTACGAAAGACCATTTGACCCATTGACTGGTGGAAGTAACTGGTATCATTACGGACGAAGAAGAAAGACAGTCAAGTTGGAGACAGACGTGAAGAAAGCAACTAAAAAGAAACCAAGGAAGAGAGTTATAAAGTAATGAATTCAACAGGGTGAAAAAAGAGGTGAAAAAAGAGGTGAGATCTCACCACTTCACCTAAATTTAAATGGATGTTTTCATACGTGTGATGGTGGTGATATCATTTATTTTTAAGTTTATTTTTTATTTTATTTTTTATTTTATTTTATATAAATGACGAAAACTATTGAGATAACAAACTACAACGGTCATGAGTTCAAGAATTTGTTCTTTGTTCCTCGTGAAAATACATTCTATCAGATACGAGGGAGAAAGGGTAAAGTTAGTTTGAGCGTTTATGACTACAAGCATAATGGAAAGTTTATACAAGCATACGATACAAATGGTAAGCGTGTTTCATTAGCTTTGTCAAAACTTACAGGTATAAACTATGACAGTGATTTTGACCTATATGAAGAAGAAAGTGAGTCAGAAGATTATGAGCTGTTATGTGAAGCACAGCAATGGGAAGCGCTGCAATACTTTTGTAAGTGAGAACGTTTATTTTTACAGTAGTGAAGTCGTTTGTGAAAACATTAGTGAGGTGAAGTGGTTGGTGGCTTTGTAAATATTTAAGGTTAAGTTAGTGTTGTCGTTGTGTTGTAAAATATACGTTAACGGTTTCGTAAAGTGTCAAATTCACATATCAGGGGTAAGGAGGCGCGCAGTGCCTCAGTACCCATGATATGTATACTAACTTTGATGAAGGAGAAATCGAAAAGCTATATCAGGAAATCAAAGCAAAGATACTAGAACCAAATGTATTAAATATATCACAAATTGAATTATTAATTCAACGATGTATAAATTACAAGAATAAATACCGTTCATCATATCAATTTTTAATTGATAAAATTTATGAAAGAAATACATATTCAGTAAAAAAATATCATGAAATCTACTTAAATGAATATACTGCATGTGAAAGAGCAATTATAGAAGATGATATACATTCATTTATTGTTATGGCAACAATGGAAGAATCTGTTATATTCAAACAAGTAAGAGGAAAAAATATTTATCTGGATATTGTACCTAGAGACCCCTTACTTGAATGGTGTTGCAAATATGGAGCAGTGAAGTGTTTCAAATATTTAATTACAGAATTCAATTTAGAAATTACGAGCAGATGTCTTCAATTATCGTTTTTAGGTGGAAATGCAGATATAGGGTGTCCAAAGGTGCGTTTAGCACAGCGCTCTATATGAGACTATTAAAGGAGATATATGCTGATTATAAATATATAATAAAAAATATGAATATATGTATATGATGAGTATGTTGTATTTTGGCGCCATGCCGGGATATAAAATGAATTTTGAGACAGGAGGCGGTTTCGCGGGAAATTTTGGCGGGATTTTTTTCATTTTTTTAATGAATCATAAAGAAAACATCCTCGCTCTTGCAAAAAAATGCAAAGACTGTAAAAAAATCTACGAGACATTGGTAAAATGCTTCGGTATGGATGCTCCTAGCTATTCCACTGTAACGTATCATGTTAGGATGTATCACTTCATGAACAAAAAGGCGCCCATCATAAAAATTGACAAAAAATCGCCGGATCAAAGAAAAATCAAAGCAATTCTTCAAGCGCTAGATGAAGACCCAAGAGCATCACTCAGAAGGATAGAGGAGATGACAAAGATACCACGTACAACAGTCAGTTATTATCTGCACAATTATTTGAACTACAAACTAGCGTATACACGTTGGGTTCCGCACAACCTTAATTCAGTTCAAAAAAAATCTAGAGTCCAATCTTCGAAAGAGTGTTATATACGAAAACGATAAAAACAGTTTGACAGAAAAGTGACAACTTTACGTGTCAAAAATATAAAAAGTGATATTTTATTCATCATTATCTTCTTCATAATTTATTTCATATTCTTCGTCTTACCAACAAAAGATGGGAATGTGAACAATTGCGGGCAATTTTTAGCCATTTTGGCTTGGAACTAGAGCCTGCGAGGTACATGGATAGTATCAGTACCTCACAGGCTCTAGTTCTCTATATGGCGCCGAGAAATTTTGGTGAAATGTGGTCGCATTTCACCAAAATTTTTTCGGCGCCATAGGATGAATTGGAGGGTGAGAGATATTATTTCATACAATACTACTCTCACCCTCCAATTCCCAGCCAAAATGGCTAAAAATTGCCCGCAATGTGAACAATTGCGGGCAATTTTAGCCATTTTGGCTTGGAACTAGAGCCTGCGAGGTACATGGATAGTATCAGTACCTCACAGGCTCTAGTTCTCTATATGGCGCCGAGAAATTTTGGTGAAATGTGGTCGCATTTCACCAAAATTTTTTCGGCGCCATAGGATGAATTGGAGGGTGAGAGATATTATTTCATACAATACTACTCTCACCCTCCAATTCCCAGCCAAAATGGCTAAAAATTGCCCGCAATGTGAACAATTGCGGGCAATTTTTAGCCATTTTGGCTTGGAACTAGAGCCTGCGAGGTACATGGATAGTATCAGTACCTCACAGGCTCTAGTTCTCTATATGGCGCCGAGAAATTTTGGTGAAATGTGGTCGCATTTCACCAAAATTTTTTCGGCGCCATAGGATGAATTGGAGGGTGAGAGATATTATTTCATACAATACTACTCTCACCCTCCAATTCCCAGCCAAAATGGCTAAAAATTGCCCGCAATGTGAACAATTGCGGGCAATTTTTAGCCATTTTGGCTTGGAACTAGAGCCTGCGAGGTACATGGATAGTATCAGTACCTCACAGGCTCTAGTTCTCTATATGGCGCCGAGAAATTTTGGTGAAATGTGGTCGCATTTCACCAAAATTTTTTCGGCGCCATAGGATGAATTGGAGGGTGAGAGATATTATTTCATACAATACTACTCTCACCCTCCAATTCCCAGCCAAAATGGCTAAAAATTGCCCGCAATGTGAACAATTGCGGGCAATTTTTAGCCATTTTGGCTTGGAACTAGAGCCTGCGAGGTACATGGATAGTATCAGTACCTCACAGGCTCTAGTTCTCTATATGGCGCCGAGAAATTTTGGTGAAATGTGGTCGCATTTCACCAAAATTTTTTCGGCGCCATAGGATGAATTGGAGGGTGAGAGATATTATTTCATACAATACTACTCTCACCCTCCAATTCCCAGCCAAAATGGCTAAAAATTGCCCGCAATGTGAACAATTGCGGGCAATTTTTAGCCATTTTGGCTTGGAACTAGAGCCTGCGAGGTACATGGATAGTATCAGTACCTCACAGGCTCTAGTTCTCTATATGGCGCCGAGAAATTTTGGTGAAATGTGGTCGCATTTCACCAAAATTTTTTCGGCGCCATAGGATGAATTGGAGGGTGAGAGATATTATTTCATACAATACTACTCTCACCCTCCAATTCCCAGCCAAAATGGCTAAAAATTGCCCGCAATGTGAACAATTGCGGGCAATTTTTAGCCATTTTGGCTTGGAACTAGAGCCTGCGAGGTACATGGATAGTATCAGTACCTCACAGGCTCTAGTTCTCTATATGGCGCCGAGAAATTTTGGTGAAATGTGGTCGCATTTCACCAAAATTTTTTCGGCGCCATAGGATGAATTGGAGGGTGAGAGATATTATTTCATACAATACTACTCTCACCCTCCAATTCCCAGCCAAAATGGCTAAAAATTGCCCGCAATGTGAACAATTGCGGGCAATTTTTAGCCATTTTGGCTTGGAACTAGAGCCTGCGAGGTACATGGATAGTATCAGTACCTCACAGGCTCTAGTTCTCTATATGGCGCCGAGAAATTTTGGTGAAATGTGGTCGCATTTCACCAAAATTTTTTCGGCGCCATAGGATGAATTGGAGGGTGAGAGATATTATTTCATACAATACTACTCTCACCCTCAATTTTAATTACTTAAACTCATTCTATTTTTTTGACATGTAAATGTCACTTTTACTGAGATCTGACACAATGTCAGATCTCTTTTTTTCGTATATAAGAAGAGCTCCTCTCTATATTGGGTGCGTATCAATCCAAGAAGTTTCGCTTTTTAGTAACAGGGGACGAGTCTTGGTTTCAATATGCAACAGAAGCCAAAATCATGTGGATCCCGAAGGATGAAAATCCGCAAACATTCCCGAAGAAAAAAATTGACACACCAATGATTATGTTGTCGGTTTTTTGGGGCGTGAATGGCATCATCGCAATTGATATTCTTCAAAAACCTAATACGATGAATGCTCAGTATCTAATTGACAATGTTCTTACTCAAATTATCAATTCTGATGAGTTTGAGAAATCCAAACAACAAAAACAAAAGTTTGCAATTCATTTTGATAATTCAAGAGTTCACAAAAGTCATAAGGTAATGAATTACTTGGTGGAAAACAATGTCAAAGTTGTTCCAAACCCAATTTATTCACCTGATATTACCCCCTCTGAATTTTATTTATTCGGCACGCTAAAAAGAGAGCTGAAGGACGCGAATTCGTGAGTCCAGATGATCTTGAAAATTTTGTAAGAGAGCAATTTGAGCAATTTTCTCATGATGATTTAAAGCGTGTCTTTCAAGCCTGGATCGATCGCTGCGAACGCGTGATTGAATCCAATGGTGATTATATTTAAATAAACTTTATATATATGTAACTTGTTTATTTCTATTCGCAGTATTCAGGTTTGTGCTAAACACACCTTTGGACACCCTATATTATGCGTGAATGTTTAAAATATTAAACACCAGATGGAATCTGTATGAAATATGCCATTATTTCTCAAAACATTGATTTCGTTCTTTATTTGATGAACACATTCAATATCCAAATACTCCCAGATGAATGCAGTCAATTTTTATTTTTGCAAGGATTTCTTATCTATTTGGATCAGACAAAGGATTTTAAATGTGCGTTCGATAATATTTTCTTAATTAACTTCCCACCTTTATATGATTATCTCATTTCGTGTGGCGTGAATGTTAATAGACATGGGGCATTTTTCTCACACTTATTGAAAAATAATTATTCCGAAACTGCGAAATTATTCATTACTAAAGGAGCAAATGTCAATGGTTTGGATTATATACCTGGAATTCCTCTTTATGCTGCTGTTACAAATAATAATATTGAAATGACTAAATTATTAATTTCTTATGGTGCAGAACTCAATAGATATGACCCTTCTTATTCTGAAACAATGCTTTCTTATGCAGTAAAACATAATTTCGAAAAGATAACCGAAATTCTTCTGTTGAATGGTGCAAATAATAGAAGTAGGGATAGATGCAGTAAAACTACTCTTTGCTATGCAATTGAAAACAAAAATGTTCATATATCAGAACTCTTAATTTTGCATGGCTCGGATGTCAATTTCAAATACAACAAGAAATTTTTAATACATTATGCAATAGAAACTGGTATTCATGAACTTGTTAAACTATTAGTTTTACATGGAGCAGATGTCAATGCAAAAGATAGCCAAAATAATACTCCACTTCATTATGCAGCAAAACAGGATAATAAGGATATGATACACATACTTATTTCTAACGGTGCAAACCCCAATATCAAAGATAAAAATGGAAATTATCCCATTTATTTAGCAACAAAATCGAATGATTTTGACATAGTTGAATTATTTTTTTCAAGTAACATCAAATATACAGTTGATGTCGATGCGAAAAACAATGATGATAAGACTGCTCTTCATGTTGCAGTTTTAAATAATTCTTTGAGGATTGTTAAACTTCTTATTTCGCACGGAGCAAATATTAATGCAGTAGATAAGGGAAATATTACGCCATTTCAATATGCAATAAGAAATTATCATAGAGAAATTATCAAAATTTTCATTTCAAAAGAAGGAGATGTAAATACAAAAGTAGAAAATGGATTATCAATTCTACATTTTGCTGCGATTTTTGGCGATAAAGAAATGATCGAAATTCTCATTTCGAACGGAATCGATATCAATTCTAGAATCCAAGCAACTAGTCAATCAGCACTTCATATCTCTTTAATGTTAAATTATATAAATTTCATTGAATTTCCGACTTTTGATAGTCATGAAATTTTTGAGTTTCTCATTGAGAATGGAGCTGATATCAACGCAAAAGATATCAATGGCAAATCAATTCTTCATTATGCCGTTAAGTATAATAATATTAAAGCTATCGAATATCTATTTTCACATAATGTTAATGTGAATGCTGCTAATAACAAAGGACAAACGGCTCTTCATTATGCAATAATCAAACATCACCAATTTTCTCGTTTCACATGGTTCAGATGTCAATGTCCAAGATAAAAAAGGAAGAACACCTCTCCATATTGCAGTGCAGTACAATTACAAAGAATGTGTTGTATTTCTTATCCAACATCGTGCAGATCCTGATATCATTGATGAATATGAGAAAACTCCACTTTGTATTGCAATTGAAAATAATTATAATAATATTGTTAGTCTACTTATTTCATATGATACTAATATTTGCTACAAGCAAAATATACTTGAATAAAGTGTTTATTTTATGATTATTTACTTCAATAAGCTCTTAAATATTTACTGTATATCTTATAGAGCAGAAAAAGTATATTTATTCAACCAACATATTACTAACTATTAAATATAAAAAATTGAAGAATTTGTACAATATCACTGTAGATTTATTCAACCAACTAACTATTAATATTTTTTATCATTTCGAGTTTTATTTAATTGAGCTTTGACACTGCATCTGATAATCAATCCTTTAACCTTTACTATTCCTCTGGTGTTTATATAAAATACACAAGTAATGACCTTGTTTCTGGCAGAAAATGCATGGGATTTCTTTTGGAAAATGGAAATGGCGTATATTCGGTAGGGTTTGGAAGTCAGTCACTACAAGTTTATGTATTTATGCATGATGCCATTCACCGAATGGTTTGTGATTTAAATGGTAATAGAATAAGGGCAGAGGAAACAACTATCAACGCAAAATTAAATGCCAAATACATGATTTGTATTAATACATATGAGAATACTCTTTTTTCCAAGACGGAAATCAATACAGATATAAAGATTATGTCCCAGTACCAACCGAAAAATTAAGAATTTTTGTGCAAAATGGAGCTATGGCAAAGATAGCCACCCTTAGATTGTTTTTGGGAAATACTCGCTTCAATAATTCCCTTCCTCAGTGGTATTCTGCAGTTATTGCTAAAGATATTGATTATTGGATGACTTGTCGGCAATATTTGCATTTTCGTTATGTTAATTTATTAATTTTTCTCTTTGTTTTAGATTAGGATGAAAATTGAAGGTTTCAATTGAGAAAAACTCTCTTCTAACCCAAGCCAAATGTGAGTGAGTTCGATTTTAAACTGAGCGTGAGTTGTATATGTAGAATTACCAATACATTATCTATCTCCATTTTGGTTTTATATTCTATTTGTTCAAATTTTTAATCACTTTTCATTACTTTATTTAAAAATGTGCTTTTCATATAGATCGCAAGCTGCATGTTTAAAAACGAAACCTGGGGAATTCAACTTTGCTTTTTCGATATGATTATTTGCTAATTTTAGATTAGAATGAAAATTTTAATTGAAAAAACCTTCCTATTTAAAAAAATTAAAGGCTAGGTGTAAATGAGCTCCATTTTAGACTGAGCCTGAGTTTTAGGTCAGATATCAACCAACTTCTTGGACATTTTTTGTTATAGATTAATTTATATGTGAAATTATTTAGCAGAGATAAACATTGCATGGAAACAGTAGAATTCTGTAAAATTTCAACTCTCTTATTTGATACATTCTATATCTCACTTTTAGTAAACAAGTTCCCATGAGAATTTATATTGCTGCATAATGTAGATGAGTTATTCCATTAAGAAACTAAATATCTAAAAAAATCCAGAAACTCAGATTTACGATTCATGAATTATAAAATCCCAACTATAGATCCAAGGTGAAGTCATTTTTCTATCCCTGGGATAGACGATACACCCAAAATGTCACCTTTTTGGGATTCTGTTTTTTTTTAAGGTTCTCGCTGGCGACCCCCCCCACGTTCGTCGAAAAAAAATTGGTGATTGGGGGTCGCCAGCAAAAATGAAATTTTTTTTCGACGAACGGGGGGTCGCCAACGAGAACCTTAAAAATAAACCTCTGAAATTTTAAAAAAGAAAAAAGTGTGAAAATCCCCTTGATTCGAACCAATGGACTTTACGATTATACTATGACTCTTACCATTGAACTATGACTCTAAGGGTTCGAAAATTTATTTGGTGATAATATAAACTTTAATGAAAAATTAATCAGATCAATTTAGAAATATTTATTTCATAATATTGAATAAAAAAAAAAAAAAAAAAAAAAAAAAAAAGGTAGTGGGGCTTCCAGGGGCTGCGCCCCTTCTAGCCCTGAAGATGTTTAAAAAAAGTTGGAATTGAGGTAAAATTAGATGTTTAGTTTCATGGAACTTGACTGTCCATTGCATCTGCCATTTGTTGGTCGTCTTCTGATGGTGTTCTTGAATTTTATTCTTCTTCGGGTACAAATTCGTCATCATCAGGTGAGTCTTGTGGTTCATCTTCTTGAGTAGAGTCTTCTTCTTCAACATCAAAGTCATCTGGTGTATCGAACTAATGTATGAAAGCCAAATGTTGTATGTGTTTTCCAATTGGCTTTCAAACTTGAGATACATTCCATGCATGAGTGTTATTTCAGTTTCAACGTAGAGTTGCTGACGTGGCTTGAAGACATGCATGAGAATTGGTCCTCCAAATTCGTCCTTGAAAAACTTGCAGTAGCAAACATAAACTGAGATAGGATCTCCTTCTTCAATGTCTTCTGCTTGGTTAACGAAATGAATAGCAATTTTGCGTACTTGAATTGTGTTGTTGTCTGAGTAAAATAATGGTTTGAACTTGGGGTTGAGTGAGCTAAGACATTGCCATTTTGCTGTTTCTTTCCGTACTCACGTTCTTCTTCGTCATCCTGATATCCGTAACTCTTTAATTTGAATTCGACCCAAAACTGTTCACTTGTTTTGCAGCTTTGGGTGGAAGACTTTCAATAAGCTGACATATAGTTCTGTCAACATTATCTTTGTTATTGTTGGAAAATAGTTGACAATTGTGTCACCTAATTCGAATGGGTCAGGTGTTCTTTTTTGTAGTTTGGTAAAGTCTGCAAGAACTTTGTTGAGTTGTTCACAATATTCTTTGTTAAAAGTTGCAGGAACTCTTTCTTCTGGCTTTGAATTGAAGTATTCTTCAGACAATCTGAGTAGTATTTTGCGTAGTTCACGTTGCTGTGGTTCTTTGTAATACGGAGCTCGTTTGGTATTGTTTTTGGTAGTGAAAGTGGCTTTGGATTGAGCGAATTGTCTGTTCTGCTTGGAGAATGTGTAGATGCCGAGTTTGATGTTGAGGCTCTAAACCTGTGGTGCTGAAAGTTTGCAAGCAATTTCTTCAGGTGAATTTGGAGCGAACACGCTAGCGAATGCCATTATGAAAAATAAACTGTTTTTTTTGGACTACTCATAGAAAAGTTTAAAATAAACCGTTTTTCGTCAACGGTAACCCCCTCTATTTTTTTATTTTATTTAATAGTTACCGTTGGCAAACCGTTCCATCTCAAATATTGAATGAACTATAAACGTTTTTTGTTTTCTATATATACTTTTTTGTCCAACGGTAAAACTTTTTACACAACGGTTTTTGAGAGTCGTCGCCGTTGACTTTTTTTGTAGAGCACTCAAAATAGTATAACTTTGTCCGGACAAGTAAGGGTCTATCGTCGCTACAGGAAAAGTTACGGGCGTTCCAAGGAAGTATACTTTGAGAAGCCTTTTCCCCTTATAGAATGAGATAGGACGGTTATTTTACAAAACTGACAACACTTTGACCGAGTAGTTTTTTGTGTGAACAAAAAGTGTCATATAAACATCTGTCAAAAGCCGCTTTTTAACTTCACTTAAAATGCCACGTAAGCTACGTAAGAATATACGTAAGAGGAAGGGAGCATTGAAACATCCAAAAGTAAAACTGACACCACAACAACAGTTGCAACAACAAATGCTGAATGACCCCACTATGTTGCAACAAATGTCAAGCAATCCTATGCTTTTAAACCGAGTCATTGGTGCACAGAGTGGAGGTTTAAGAGCGGCACTTTTAGCGAAAATGGCAGGCTATGGTGGAGCTGCAGACGGAACAGCCTATAACCCTCAAAGTCAAATGAATTTGAGTTCACTCAAAAATCAAATAACAGATGTCAAAAAGTCAAACATAGACATACAGAAGCAAATAAGTGAAAACGAAAAGAAACTAGAATATGACAGACACACAAAGAAACTCAATGAGTTAAACGTAGAGAAAAAGAAGAAAGAAAAGACAACTGAAAGAACTAAGTACAGAGGAATATGCGAAAAAAGTGTCAGAAAAAGCAGCAGAAGTAGCAAAAATGGAACAAGATGTCATAAATTTGAAAAACCATACTACTCGATATAAAGTACTGAAAGATGAAGAAATAAAACAAAAAGCCCTGAAGACATATATGGATAGCGATGAGTATAAAAAAGAAGTTGAAGCAAATGTAAAGGCAGAAAAACTTTTACAGTTGCAAAACCAAACCGTACAGTATGAAAACTTAGCACAAGAAAGTAAAAATAACGACGCGGCTATGCAAAAGGCAATGAAAAGCGCAGAATATATAAAAGCTAACAATGACTGGTTAGATGCCCAAGCCAACGCTAAAGCAGCCCAACTCATAGGGTCAATAAGGACAAAAATACAAGCGGATGAAGACAGTTCAAATGAAGCTTTAATGAATGCTGACTTTAAGAACGCCTTCGAAGCTTTTCATAGTAAGGTGAAACTAGTGAACGACTTCTCATCTGGAAAGAAACTGAAGTCTGAAGGTTTCGACAAAGAGTTAAAAGAAGTAGCACAAATATGACGAAAAATAACAGATGCAGCAACGAGACAGGCAGTTCAAAGTGCCTATGACGCCGTTAGAGCAACTGTTGTGGAAAGTCAAGAAAAAGAGTTACAACAGACCAAAACAGACCTAGTAAATGCTTTCTTAAAAACGAAAAGTCAGGTAGGACATTATGCTGCAGATGGAACATATGTGCCAGCTGGTGGAACTTATATACCACCAAACCCTCCAAGAGAAGCACCTGCACCAGGACTACCTAAAACATTTACATCGTCACATGGACACAGACACAGGCATCACCACAACAACACACAACAGTTCAAAATCCACAACAAACCAACACAACAACCAGCACAGCAACCAACAGTTCAAAACCCTGCACAACAACAACACAAACAGAGCAAGGACATAAAAGAAGTAGAGAACAAGGAAACCAAGAATTCTTAAAAATGCTTAAAGAAGAGTGTGGTTTCCCAGATAGTATTGACTTTAGTGACAGATATAAAGAAGCTATTGGAAAGTTCAAGGATGGAAATACTGACCCGAACCTATTTAGCTTTATGGCTCAGCACCAAAACGGATATAATCTCAAACCTGGAAAATACAAGCTCGCTAAGGGATATGATTTAATAGCATATCATCCAAATGACATGGATGAATTTACTCCGAGATATTTGATGTCAGAGCTAAATGACAATTCAACTTTCGTCATGAAACGCGTAAAAAATAGAGACGGAACGAAAGAACAAAAGCTTATGAATGCGGATGACGTAGATAGGAAATTGTTGAAAACGGTCTCGGAATATATGAAATGCCAGCAGATGAGGTACAAGAAACTCCACAGGAAGAAGTTCAGATACAACCAGACATGGAAGAAATAGTTCAGCAACACAAGCTAGAAGAGCCTGAAGGAAACGAACAAGTCCTTCCTTTGGAAACTAACTTCACAGAACTAGATGAAGATTTGGAACAGCCGAAAAATCTTGACCCTCAACAAGAGTATGCGGAGAATATTGGAATATTTCCAAGAGTCTAAAAAAAATTCGGTGACATAGTAGAAGAATATCGAAAATGTTTGCCGACATACAAAAGACTCCAACATCAGATGAAAATATCCAGCATAGAATGGAAGAACTGAAAAAAATTGTACACAAATACAACAACCTTTTTACTTACGAGCATTTAACGTTCAATCTTCGGATGAACTCGGTGAAAATAAAAGGTTAAATTTCAAGAAAACATATAGAAATGAAACATTGTTTAAAGTTCATTCAGAACCTAACCAAGATGGAAACAAACCTACTTTTTGTTCTGCAGACGATGGAACTACAATGAGATGGGGTCATAAAGCTAACCCGGATAGGTGGTTCATAAACTTACAACCACAATTCCAAGAAGTTGTAGACGCAATGGAAGTCAATGGTGAACGAGACATAGCTGGTATTTTAAGCGCGGCTTTAATGCCATTGAAAGATATGAAAGATGCAGATATTTTGGACCAGTATGAAATGAACATGGCTGATGGAAATATAACACCTGACGTTCTAGAACATTTATCTCAAAGAACTACACAGAACCATAGAGATGGTATATTTGGTGAAGAGTTTAGAAAGACAGTTAGGGAGAGAGAAGGAAGAGAACCTATTGTACATGACCTTGCAAATGAAAGTTTGCAAAATGTCATAAAAACTTACTTTGCAGACAATGAACTGAGAAGGGATGAATATTTAAGAAAACTCAAATTGACAGTACCAAATGAAATGTTAGTATTGAAAAACATGTTCCTTGACAAAATAAAACCAACTACAGAAATAAACGACGCAAGACTGAAAGATTGGGTAAAAGCTTTCCCATTCACAAAAGATATAGTTGGTAACATGGAAAGAAAACCAGAATGGCTACAAAACATATATTTGGAAACGAGCATATTCCATATGGACAGGCACTGTTTGAAGAGCTTGAACCGAAACTCAGGAAAGAGTCATGCAAACAATACGCGAAGACTCAAATACAGACTATGACAAACTCTTTCTAGGATATAGGTTACCTGAGATGGGCGACCAGAGCCAAAAGGCAAAAAGGACATGGGAAATTTGCAACATACTAGATGAACATAATGCAAAGATGCAACAACTTCAAGCAGAGGGCAATGAAGGAAAAAAGAGAGTTAAAACTCAGTCAGGAAGAAAGTAAAGCTTGGTCCACGTGGGTTCTATTATGACATATAAATCCAACTATTCTATATTTTTACTCATATGAAATGTACGCCGCTCAGAATATAACGCCAACAGTTTTGGATGCTATGAATGGAAATGTTTCCGAATGGTATAACGAATGCGACAATGCCATTAGAAGGTCAGAAATAGTTCCTGGAACTTACGAATATACAACTGCTGTTTCTTATGGAAACGTAGGTGAGTTTGGAGAAGGTTCTTCAACAACAGTAGATATTGCTTGCGACAGGTTTTCATATTATTTCTATTGACAACTCATTCTTATACGTGGAACAAGACATTGAAATAAAACCTTCTGCCAAGTTGTCTGACAAGAAAAGGTTGCAATGAATTTTCTATGTCGGATACCAATATGCTCCAGAAGTTTTCATGGGATAATAAGATATATTCTAACTCTGACTTAGTTCAACAAGTAAACATGGGCAAACTATGAATGGTTCGCTTTGAGAAACTCAGTACAACCACAAGCTAGAGAACAAACAGACCAGTATGCAACTATTGAGAAATAAGAAGACTTGACCCTAACGTTCCAGGAGTTTATGTTAACCTTTCTGGACAAACTGCAGCAGCAGTAACCAAAGTAAAACTGAAACTTGAAGTTCCTTTGTCATCTTTCCTCATCTTCAGGTTTTTAAGATACTTGCCAAAACTGGGCAGGAAAATTTTCATCGAACTTACTCAAAGCAAAAATAACTTAGTCATTGCACCACACAAAGACCCATCTCTCTTACAGAAGTAGTGGGAACAAATAAAATGTCATTCGCCGACTTTTGCAAAAACAAGTTGACTTAGACTTTGGTTTCCTAAACCTCAACACTGAAGTAAACTATTATTTCAATGCTGCTGGAGATGCTTGGGACCCAGTTAAGTTCACATGCGAAAAATTTGAATGCAAGAGAATAGAAAGCAGACTTGCAGTCATAATGTTGGACCCAGATATTTCAAATGCTTTAGCTGCCAAATATATTGCAGTTCCACTTATGTTCCCTATACACCAAATATCTGTCAAAGACTTTGCAGGTGAAGTTGGAAACCAAAGTGCTGACCCAGGTGCAAGAACAGATATTGCTTAAACAACTGCAATGAAACATGCAGATACTATGTTTGTACTGTTCAGACGAAACTATAAATGACTATTTTGTTTCTACAACCCCGGTATTAAATATCATATAAACATAGATGGCAAATATTATCCAAGAGAAGAATATTCTACAGTTGAGGATATGAGGTCATACAACTTGACATTAGATGCTATGAACTTTAACAACAACTTCACAACAACCATTAACCCTGAAATGCAAAGTTCTATTATGCCATATGTGAAAGTATGGACTCATACAGGAGGTCAAAAAACTCAATATACAAATGGAGACCGTTCAAACTTTTGGCTTGGCATTCCATTTGCTGACTCAAGAAGACTTTATGGGTGGTATTTCAACTGTTGGTACAGTTCAAATACAATATACTGGTGACAGAGACGGTCCAGATGAACTGAGAGCAAAGAAGTTTACAAAACCAATAGCACTTTTCACGGAAGATGCTCTTTTGAAGATTCGTTCGATGAAAACCTGCTGGGGCTCCTCAGATTGGCATAACGACAGCTTCCATCGAGCAGATTTTGCAGCAGGTCAGTAAGTTGTTCTTGAACTGACTTCTCTCCGTCAAATATTGACAGTACGCCAGTTTTGACATAAAATTGTATTATAAACTTACCTTAAGAAATATCGGTCAGTTTTGTTGTTATATTTTGTCTGCTTCAAGAACTTTCACCATCTCGGTATATACCAACTTTCTTTGCTTTATGAAAATATTTTGGTTCACGAAAGACTGCTATTCTATAACATTTTCCATTGTTTGTATAAAGAACTATTCTGTCAATGTATTTGTATTGTTTGTGTGTTGTAAACTTTGTTCTGCTTCAATTCGAAGAGATACTCGAATACGTCCATCTTTTATTCTAAGTAAAATGTCATTTCCGAAAAATAGAAGCGTGAGTGTTTCAAAAGGTTTAATGGCGGTGGCAGATTGAAGTTAAATTCACCAACTCAAACAAACAGTCAAAGTGTTGTTGTCAATGTCAAAGAAAGAGATGTTGAAGTGGGGAAAACCATACGAAGACCAAGATGGTATAACAATAGTTCCTGTAAAAGAACAACCAACATACCCTGAAGTTAGCAGAGACTTAAGTTCTGTTGCAGATATTCGAAATGACTACCAACAACTTAAAGACAAACTTAAAACTCAGGAAGAAGATTTGTCAAGCTTTAAGTATAATGTTAAACTTGGTCGAACACAACCCTGTAAAGTGAAACTCATATGTCATCGCACCTCGTGAAGTTTGAAAGAACTATTGAAACTTTTGACAGAGGCAGACGATATAACATCACAAAGAAATAGAGCCCGACATTGCTTGCTGTGGTGTCATATAATGTCATTGACAAGATATACGTTATGAAAGGAGGTGAAACGTTGAACTTAAAATATAGTTTCCCAGACGTCATAAAAATATTTGACGACCACAACATTTCATTAAAATTATTTTGCTAAGTAAATGGCAGAAGATATAATGGTTTATACTATTACGACTAAAACCCTGGGTCATATAATTCTATAACAACAAATACAAAGTCCTCAAGGACGATATTGTAAACTAACCTTAAACACAATGACGACTAAAGCCTGTTTTGCTCTTTTGACACCAAGAAGACTTTATTGTTGTGAATGGTAAAAAATACTCCTTTGAAGATACTTACTCAGATATACCACCAACAGGTTTTGTTGACTTATTAATACTTTAAGGACGGATGTAACATGTGCTGCAACTAGAGCAGGTTTCATTATGTTTGGATGTCCGACTGAGTTTAGTATAAACGATATGAGCTATAATACAAAACTTATATCTGGTTTTTACTACCAACAGTTTCCTATAACAGGAAAAGGTGTCATACAAGGAATGTTATTCCATTGACATTAAGCACACCAATCTTATATATTTGTTTCAAACTTAGGTTCAAAGTGCTATCCGAATGTCGACAGAAACTACTATGCAACCAAGAATACTCATGCGTATAAACAACACTTTCTCTGCTGGTTTGCTATTGTTCATTCGAATGCAAGAATTTTCAACCTTAGTGAACTCAAACACTTTGGCAAGTATAACGTGACATTAGTTGACGCAAACTTTGTTCCTGTAAAACTTTTATGTCCTTGATTTGTCAATGACGGCAGAAGTTTCGAATTGGAAGATGCAACTGGTGAAAGTGTGTATTAACAAGAACAACTTCAACAACAAATAGCTCAAGAACAACAATGCAACAAATGCAACAACAAAGTCAAGAATAAAAAAAAATATTTTTTTTTATTTTTATAAAAATGTACAGAATAGACGTTTCAGATTTTTATGACATTCCAAGCGTTCAGAAATATGTGTCCATTTAGAGACTATAACAAAGCAGTCGAGAATTTGAAACGTTTAGTCATTTATGTTGACTCTGCCCCAGAATGTTATGTTATGAAAGAATGGGATGTTGTCTTTAACAAACCAAGACAACAATAGTTTCAGACAAGAATGTAGACGAAACTTAAGAAAATAAAAGTCGTACAGGTTGGCATGAAGATGTTAGATGCTTGGGATATTTTATTGTCGAAGTTAGAAGATTTTTCAGTTCGAGGTATAAAGTTCTATACACCTTCTCCAAACTTTTTTTCTATCTTCACTGGATATAAATACGAACAAGTAGAATGGAAAGAAAATATTATAGAAGCTTGGTGACCATGTCAAAGAAATTATATGCAATGGAAAAAGAAAAGGTTAATGAGTATATCTTATGTTGGTTTGCAAACATCTTACAACATCCAAGTGCTAAAAATGAAACTGCCTCCATTATAATTGGAAAAACAAGGAACAGTAAGAATACTTCTTTACAGATATCTTGTGCAAACTGTTAGAAGGTTATTCGAATCCGAATATGACAAACTTAGAAAACATCTGTGGCAAGTTTAACTCCTCAATTGAGAATATGAAACTTATAGTTTGCAATGAACTTCAAAGTATAGATACAACAAAAGTTTTGAACTCAGATGCTTTGGAGAGTCTTATAACAGACAAAGTTGGAGTTGTTGAAAGAAAGTATAAAGACCAAAGAGTTTGTGAGAATGTTGCAAACTTCATTATGGTTTCAAACAATACTGTTCCGATGAAGTTAGAAAGTTCTGACAGAAGATATGTAGTTGTCAGAACGTCAGATTCTCATATGCAAGATACTGAATATTTTGACGCTTTGTCAGAATGTTTGACATCTGACTTTTACAACCACTTGTTCTCATATTTCATGACATTAGATATTTCTAAGTTCAATCCAAGACAAATTCCATATACCGAAGAGAGACAAACATTGTTAGAAGCAAACAAGAGTGTATATGAACTGTTTATAGATGAGACTAACTTTGAGTGTTTAGATGAAAGGTCATTGTACGATTCGTATAAACAATATTGTCAAGAGTATGGTTATATGACAGCATCTAAACGAACATTCTTGGCAAATGTCAAAAATCTTTTAGACATACAGAACGGCGTATATACAAAGAAAAATTTTTCTGAGTAAATTTAAAAAAAAATATTTTTTTATCCGATAGAAAAGATGGCAAAATTCATCTCAGTAAATAAGTACATGACAGAAGTCAAAGATAAGTTAGCTCCATTCGCATATTTGAATGTTTACTTCTATAATTTTGAAAAGTCTACATTTGACAAAGTTTGGAACATTGCACCAGTTAAGTTTGCTGTTGTTAGAAAAAGTGGTGCAACTTTTGAAGACTTAGACATAGAAGGTTTGTTAACAGTCAAAGAAAATTTTGACAGAAGGTTCTCAAACCTTAAAGAAGGCAAAGCATACAAACTTGTTATACCTTATGAACCAAAGAAAGCAGACGACTATGAATATTATGAGTCTAAGATAGTTGAAGTTCAAGGTAAATTGGGTAAAAAGATTTTAGAGTCTAAACCAGTGTTTGCTCCTAAAGAGGAAGAGAACATTGACATTGACCCAGAAATGTTCTAAAAATAAAATTTTATTTTTACATGTCAAATTTCTTTTTCTCTGGAACTGGCTCTGGTTCAGGTTCTTTCTTCTCTTCTACTTTTTTCTCTTTCTTTCCTTTCTTCTTCTTTTCTGGTGGAGTTATGTCAAATTTCTCAGAACCATATTTCTGTAAAAGTTCTTTGTCCTGTAATAGCTCATCTATTCTGTTTTCTATTTCATCTTCAAGAACAGCGCATGTGTCTTCTTTGCATTCTAAGAACTTTTGTTGGACTTCATCTTTCCAATCGGTGTCATCTCTGTCAACAAGTCTGTCATTGACAAATTTTAAGACTTCTCTGCTTAATGTTTTATGGTTCTTGTCATATTCCCAGAAACAGAACTTTAGAACAAATTCACCTTTCTTGTTTACACTATGTAAGATTTTATGGTCGACAGATGTTTTAGAGTCGAAAAGCTTGTCTCGAATATAGATAGCGAAATCGCTAGACATTTTCTAAAAGATAAAAATTTTAATTTTTCTAAAAATATGTTAGAAAAAAAGTTTGCTGACATTGACAAGAAATTTGAGAATGTTTTAAACAAGAACAAGAGGAAGTTGGAAAATGCTCAGATAAAACCCATACATGACAAGTTCTTATTTGCTCAGAATGGTATAACAGGTCTAATTGCACCACCTGGGTCTGGTAAGACTTTCACTTATCTTAAAATGGCTGCACAACAACAAGAACTAGATGAGAAGAACCCATTCTATGAGTTAGTAGTCATTTGTAGTACTTCTGGTCAATTTGACCAAACCGTCAATTCGTTCAAAGATATTATAAAGAAGTCTAAGTTAGTATGTATAAAGGATACTGAGTTGTTAGATTGGATAAAGAAGTACCAAAGAAGAGTTTTGAAGTACAATGCTATAAATGAGTATATAAATTCGAAGTTTAAAGACCCAAATGAGGAAATGCAGAGAATATTAGAGAAGAAACACTTCAGAAACAAACAGAAAGAGATAGAATACATTTCGAAGAAATTGCAATCTTACGATTGGAAGACTTACCCTCATAGGTGTCTTCTTATTTTAGATGATTTCGCCTCTCATCCTTTGTTAAAGAATAGAGAACAAGACATGTGTCGAATTCTTAAGAAGCTCAGACACTTTAACATCTCAGTTGTCATTTGTGTACAGACAGCAAAGAGTTTAAGTAAGGATGTTAAAAGAATACTTACTGACATTGTACTTTTCCCCGGATTGTCCGAAGACGATTTCATGGAACTTATGAAAGAGTCCATGGCAGGTAAGTTTGACAGACATGAACTATGGGAGAAGTACAAAGTCATACAAGACCCTCATACTTCTTTCAGAATTCATATCTACGCGAACAAAGTTCAAATTGTAAAAAGTCAAGCTTGAAAAATAAATGGTTCATCTACCCTACTTGTTTGAAGTTGTCAAAATACTCTGTTATTTTTCACGATTTTCATGAGTTTTAGGCTAGACCGGTAAAAGTCGGTCTAGAGAAATTTCACGATTTTCATACGGAATCTCTTCTCTCGGTTTTCCGAGGGAAGCAATCTTATGCCATTTTACTCAGAATTTTGGTCATTTTTCAATAAAAATAATGTTTAGGGTAGAATGTTAGATCTAACATGTTTTCTAACATGTTTTCTAACATGGTCTAAAACATACAAAACTCATGAAATTTCATACGGAATTCAGCAAAAATAATGTTTATGTTAGAATGTTAGATCTAACATGTTTTCTAACATGTTTTCTAACATAACTATTTACAAGCGTTTTACATGGTATATGTTGCGATGGTTCATGACTCTAAACAGTTTCGTAGCTTCAATTTCTTCTTTTAGTACATCGAATGTTTTAACTATGCCGAAGGTTTCTTTATACTTCTTCTTGACGTCAGATAATAGGAAATCGTCAGCAGTTGGATAGTTTTTGTTCAGAAATTCTAACATGTTCATTTTATCTTCTGCTGGTTTTTCTGCTTCTTTCTTTAAATCTGCATAGTCGTTTCGCATACGTTCTATCTCTTTGACGGAGTAGTTATATTTCCTCATTGCTGCTTTACATTTTGAACATTGCGGATTCATTTTTGCGTTATATTCTGAAACCTTACCTGCTAAAACAACTAAGGCGTCAATGGTTTTCTTCATCTCGAACATAGCGGGTCTTATTTGTTCGTTCCATACCTTACCCCTACTATCTTTATCTCTTATTTCCCAAACACATTTTGCAACTAATGAAACAAAGTTGTCGTAGGTCTTAAATTCTTCGGATTTGTAAAGGTCAGAGATGTTCTTATATACCATGTCGCAATCTTTGTCCATAACCTTATGGTTGCAATGAAAACCAAGGAATTCATAATTTACCTTTCGTATGAACTTCTTTATTTCTACTGAGTCAGTTGCTTTGACTTCTATTTCGTCAAATTCGGGAATGGTTAGTTTTTGTTGTTGGATTTCAGGCAATTTGGGTAAATGGTCAATAATGTCCTGCATTTCATAAAGATACTGTTCATTTGTTTCATCTTTCGCACTACAGTCTAAATTACTTGTTAAAAGTTCTTGCTTTATCTTCTGGATTTTTGTTTCGAAAGTATATGAAGAAGGAATGAAGTTTTTCATCTCTACTAACATAGATGTTGGATTCATAACTAGCGAGTTTGGTGCTGTAGTTGTTTGAATTGTTGTTGTGCCGATTGTTGAAATCATGTCTTTTATACAAAATAAAAAAAATAAATAAAATAAAAAATAAAACTAATTTTATTTTTTATTTCGGGAAAATTCATGAAAATTCAAGAGTTTTAGACCATGTTAGAAAACGTGTTAGAAAACATGTTAGATCTAACATTCTAACATAAACATTATTTTTGGTGTAAATTTCATGAAAATTCAAGAGTTTTAGACCATGTTAGAAAACGTGTTAGAAAACATGTTAGATCTAACATTCTAACATAAACATTATTTTTGGTGTAAATTTCATGAAAATTCAAATTGTAAAAAGTCAAGCTTGAAAAATGTAAGTGTTTAGTCTTAGTAAGATGGTAGCTTCTTAAAGCAAATACCATTGCTGAGTTTTATGTACGTGAAGAGAAGTACAATGAATTCAATTACGAGTACAATTGCAATGACAACTAAGGCAACTATTTTTGTCTTTTGCCAGCAAGGGTACTTCTTCTCTTCCAATGGTTCGGCAGAACTATACTCACTCATGAGAAATGCCAAAACGGTTTAATAGAAAAAGTGTCATTTTTTCATGTCCGAAGACTCGAAGGTGCAACACTTCCAAAATACCGACGAACTCAGAAGAGCAGCATGGCAGTATGTTCTTGACAACTTCTTTGAGTTCTCCAGGTACACCTTGGAAAATGCTGAAGAACTCCGACACAGAGAATTTGGAGAAATTGCACTCCAATACTACCTTGACAAACAAAGGGTAAACAAAGGGTAAAATAAGACTAAAAACTTAACGTTTAAAAAGTGACATTTTTATGAGCTCCGAGTCACCGAGAAAACTTGGTCAGATGTTAGCAGCTTACTTCCCCGAGGAGGATGGAAGCGTTACATACATCAGGTTCAAAAACAACGAACCTGGAATTGCGTACAAAATTCGCAATTACATGACCATGGAAGAGTACGAAAGGTTCCTACAAGAGAAACCAGCTCTAAACAACTCAGAAAAGAAAGAATAAAAAGTTTAACTCGTAATTGTTTATTTTTTTACTTGTATGGGCAAGCTGCAAGAATGAAGTCGACTATCTCGGTCTTTGTCTTGACCAGTTGGACTGCTCTTGCGAGTACGTCTGTTTTGCGGTCTCCAGCTGGTGTCTGACCTTCGTAATTGCGCATGTTCTTGAGAGCTCCAGTTGTAAATGATTGTAGGATGAAGAGTCTCTCAGACTGCTTGAGGTAGTCTTCACGGTCACGAACCGAATCTGTGGTACGAGTCGAATCGGTCGACCTTAGGGAAGAGACTGAAAGCCTGTCGTCTTCCATTGGAGCTGTAGCATACTCTTTGCGTAAGCGGTTCAGACCTTCTTCGAACTCTTGGTCTCTCTTCGATTGGATTGAGATTGGAATTGCTGGGGTGGAGCTTGCTGGAACATCCAAGGGTTGGGGAAGTAAGGCATAGGCTGAGGAGGGTAGTTCGGGAAGCCTTGTAGTGGAAATTGGTAGTAACCTTGAGGTGGAAATTGGTAGTAATTCGGAGGTACTTGCTGGAACTGAGGTGTAGGGGCTGGTGCTTTAGGTTCCTCTGGTTTGGGAATGGACTCGGTTGGTGGGACGTCGGACATTCGTCTGTGGCTTAACCGTCGGACCACAACGATAAAAATCTCTGCTACTAGCAGTACTGCTACTGACAGTAGCAGTACTTTTACTGACAGTAGCAGTACTTTTTCTGACAGTAGCAGTACTTTTACTGACAGTAGCAGTACTTTTTCTGACAGTAGCAGTACTTTTACTGACAGTAGCAGTACTTTTACTGACAGTAGCAGTACTTTATCGTCGAAAACCCTCTCAAATTTTCCTTTTTTCTGCTACTAGCAGTACTTTTACTGACAGTAGCAGTACTTTTTCTGACAGTAGCAGTACTTTTACTGACAGTAGCAGTACTTTTTCTGACAGTAGCAGTACTTTTACTGACAGTAGCAGTACTTTTACTGACAGTAGCAATGGTCGAGGTCGAACCTACCGACGAGGCAATTTACCTAATTGAAATTAACGAGCTTGTTAAAGACTTCCTCAGGCAGAATGTAAAAGGCAAGCTTGTTAACTGTTGGATAACGGGAAGGGCTGCCTTGAATCTCGAGACTTCGACTGGAATTCCAATTCAAATACCAGACGGGACAGCCTACGACGACATAAAGCAAGCAAAGAAAGAAGCTCTTCTCAAGTTCTTTGCCAAGCGTCCTTGGATACGACTTCCAAACAGAGAGAACCCTTTCCCAAGAATGAGCCAAATTCTCAAGGGTCTCCTTCACTTCTCGGGTCAGCCGTTCTACATAACCTCAGAAGGCGACATCCAACCAGTTCAGTAAACCTTAACGTTTAGAGTAAAAACATTTTTTTCATTTTTTGAATGAAGCAAGTTAAATTCGTCCCACACCAATCTCAATGGACCGATGAAGAGTTTCAAGCTATGGTTGAAGGTGTTGAGAACGACATAGACGGCGAACTTGAAGGAGCTCAAATCACAATTGCAACCAAAATTGCAGGAGTCAAGGAACAGATAGCTCCACTTAAAGCTACCAAAGCTACTCTTGACCTCATGGATAGTTACCGTTTAGATGTCAAGAGTGGAATAAGACAATTAAAATTGAAACTTCTAAACTACGAAGCTATACTCCAAAAGTTAGCAGAGATGAGAAGACTTTACCAGAGCTACTTACATGTAAGGGACTTACCTTCAAGCAGTCCGACCAAGGATGAATTTTCTGACATTGTCCCAATTTTGTCCGAAAGTCAGCTCAGATGTTTTGAACTGCTCCCAACATATCCAGAATATGAAAATTTGCCTGAACTCTTCCGCAATCTCAAAAAACGTTTTTTGGTTCTCATGTTCGAAACTTTTATCGGAAGAGACAACAAACGTTCAGAAGAAGAACAAGATATTATTTTAAACTTGTTGTATGACTTAACTGTCATAACAAGCTTTTTGAAGTAAAACCGTCATTCTCAAACCACTTCATTTTTTCGATGTCCGAACAAGCACCGAAGCCGAACACAATGGCAGATGTCCTTTCAATGTTGCCAGACAAGCGCCCAGTTCAAATTCAAATTTTGAATTTGAAAGCTCATCTGACAAACACCGTTAAGACTCTCCAAAGTAGTCTTATGGAAGAGATGACCAAGCTCAAAGCCGATGTCCTCATGAACCAAGCTTCCAATGAGAAATGCCTGAATGATTTGACGGAAACCTTGCGCATTTACGCGAGAGAGAACCGAGACCTTGCCAGACTCATCTACCGTTTCTTCGAAGAGATAGACGCCATCTGGAAGGTACTCGGAAAGGACAGAACCTCCAACACCGTAATTCGTGAGTACCAAATTGAAGAAGGAATTTTCGAGGAAGAAGAGAAACACGAAGAAGAAGAGAAACACGAAGAAGAAGAGGAAGAAGAAGAGAAACACGAAGAAAAGGAAGTTTGGGCAACCCTTGTTGCCGATGACACTTACGAAATTTCCCAACCCTACCCATACCAAATCCGCAACAGGAGACGGCAAGGTTCTTACCCCAGTCCTCAACAACTTGGGACACTTGAACCTTAACCTTCGGAATCGCGGTTCAATCTCCATGGGCAAGCTTGTCGCAATTCAATGGGTTCCAAATCCAGGCAAGAAGACGAAGGTTAGACACATTGACGGTGACAAGCTCAACAACCGTAAGGAGAACCTCGAGTGGTTCTAAGAGTAAAAAAATTTTATTTTAGGGGGAAACCCCAAGTAAATTTAGGTGTTTAGTTGCGTAAGCGGCTTAAATTAATGAGAATTTGGACAAGTAGTTCCTGACCCCTGAATTGGACTCTTTCGTCATCCCAGTTGCGTAGGAGGTCGTCCCAGAGGAGTTGGTAGAATTGCCAATCCAAGGACGATTTGTCCTCCCAGGCATTGAGGATGTACTGCTCGTAGAGTTTCATGACCTCTGCCTTGCACCAGACACCCTCTCCCTTGGAACGTAAGGCTTCTTCGAAGTGCTCGAATGCGATTGGCTGCGTGACCATCTGAAATGACACTTTTTGTCCGTTTGGTCAATGTTTGTGTCTCGTGCCATAGTCGACGAAAATACAAACAAACAGGTTATATATGAGTTTGAGACCAAGAATGGTGTAACTCGACCTGTCCGATTCAAATTCGAATAAAAATTTTTTATTTCATGCAATGTTTAACTATTTCACCATCTTCTTTAACACCCCAGTACTTCCTTTTCGATATTACATGAACTTCGGTGAAAATTTTGTCCAATTTGAATTGACCCATCTTTTCACCGACCATGCCCATTTCAATGAGTTTGTTATAGCCTTCTTCGTTCGTCATGAGTGCATCGATGTTCTCATAGTAAACCTTCACTTTGGATTTGACTTCCGAGAAGAATTTGTTGTAGTTGTCAAGGACTGCCTTTGCGAACTGAGGGTAAGACCAATGTTCGACAATAGGTTTTAATGTGGTTACTAAGCCACTTTGACCTTGAGTGAATTCGTACTTCAAAACAAAAGGAGAAAACCTTTCAACAAAGTTGTCGACCTTCTCATAATGTTTACTCTTCATCTCTTGAGGTTTCTTAATGGAATATCCCCATGTCGAATTCATAAGCAATTTGAGTGTCATTG